ATTCATAACTTGGCTACCTCCAAATATCCATGTTGTGGAGGCCATGCATCTGCCAAAGCATGTGGCATGAAATACTTATTTCTCTCAAAGACCAAGTAAATTGAAAAATACACACTTCTTGCTGAACTACTTGTGATAACTTTTAAAGATCAACAAACTTCTAAAGTCATAATGCATTTAAATAGAATGAGAGATATTTTTGAATAAAAGCATTCAGAATGACCATCAATATTGTATATGAAAAGTAAAACACGAGAAGTATAAATTTCAAACAATTGCTAATAAGCAGGAGATCCCTGAATTGGGCTTCCCTTGTTAACATGCACCTGATATGTATATTATTTACAACAATACAGTATCCTTCCCTTGAAAAATTATGTGATATGTAGAGAATATTAAATAAAAAATGTTCTTACATGGGGAAGGATCTTAAATTTTCTTTCTTCACTCTCAGTGCATTTGATCAGTAGTTAGACACAGACACATTTCTAATTTAACCACCATTTCAGTAAATGGAGTATATATCGTCTATGCTGAGAGGCAGATAACAGTACACTAAGACAACTAAGTTGTATGTGGTGTACTTAATTTTCAATCTCACATTTTTTTTTACTATAGCTTGGATGTGCACATTTCAGGTATGTGCAGTACAAATTCTTTTCCCAAAATAAGTACATTTCTATGTGAAAAAATAGGAAGCATGTATGCCAACGAATAAACAGAACATACAACCAATTCAGTGTCTCTAATGGATAAATACATCCACATTAAAGATCTCTACTGATCTGATTTTTAGTTTCCTTGCTTATTCCTCACCTATCTAGGATATGATTTCTCTGGTGATAACTGAAGACATCATGCTAATGAGGGAATCTAATGCACAACAGGAACATTGTCACTACTAATATTATTTGCTTGGAGTTAAATAAGGCAAGTGTATGAGAATGTCAAGACAGTTGTCCTTTAGTAATATAGAGTTACACAATGAAATAATGTGTTCAATTTTATCACATCACTGGGTGAAATTGAAATTACTGTGCGTGCAATCCTGATAGTAGCCTTTTAACTGGCTGAAGAGATATTTTCCAAGAGAATTTTCCCTTTTTCATTCGAAGCAGAAGAAAGCTCTGCAAAGCCTTTGCTCATCCCTGGCATTTTGTGTCATTGTGGGTTATTGCTATTTTGCTGTTATGGTCTCATTGCTTAAAAGTATGTTAGAACATCACAGCCCTTAAGGTAAACTCGAAGAAGGAGAGTGACATTTTCTATTCTGACAAATACACAAAACATTTATGAAAGCAGAAAAATCAGGAAAGCTTTCTATTTTTATTTATCAATCAAAAATAGACCTTCCTTTTCTAGTTTTTAAGCAACTACTTGTAAGCGGGGAATTCTCTATGTGTGCAGGCTTGCGTGTGTGCATACACACACCCTAAACTGAATCATAGTGTCTACCAGAAGCCAAAGGTATCTGGTCATTCTCAACTTGTCACTGATCAAAGTGGCCCAAAGAAGAACTTTCCTTAAAAAGTTGAAATTTATGTTCTTTGAGGTTATCAGCAATTATTTCTCTATCCAGAACAGGGACAGCCTTTTCAAAGGATCTACAAAAATGCTGTGTTTGTTTGTTTTTTCTCCTTAAGGTATGTAAGCTGAACCAACAAAAGGTTAAATAGACAAATTTTAACCTTTTTAAAAAAGAAATCCTACAGATCTCTGTTCTTAATCCTCTTCTCCAAACCTAAACCAGGTATAACTGTCCTATTACAGGGGGGGGGGGGGATTTCCATGTATGCCTTGTACAAGGTCTCACAACAGAAAGCAGAGATGTGTAGATTATGTGATGGCACATAAAAACTTGCCTACATTCTCTGTTATATTTTTACAATTATTTCTTTCCCTTACATGCTTTGAAAACACACAGCATAGTACGAATGAAGGTTTTATATTGCTCTCTGTACAGCTATTGGCTTTCCGTCACTATATCACAAATCCACCTGAAATTAAAATTACCATTTAACCCCAACCTAAGCAAATATTGGATTGTATAGGTAATAATACTTTATTCCATGTATTTCATTACTTAAGAGAGAAAAAATGATTCCAGATTGTCCCAAAGGTCTCATTAAAGACTTTTTTTGGATGAAAGCAAGCAAAGTTTTGCTTGTAATGCACACATTTCCTGTATTACTTCTATTTTTGAACACAAGGAAAAATACATAATAATAATAATAATAATAATAATAATAATACTTTTACAAGCTCTAAAGCCATCATTATCAGAAATAGATAAGGAAACAAATGAACTTTTAGAAGGAAATGGAATCCTACAGTTGTTACTGCCAGATATGTTTCCCTTGCAAAGTGCTACTTTAGATAGATGGACAGATAGACAGACAGACATCTTACATGAGACTTATCAAGTTTTTAAAAAAGTTAAAACTATTACCTATTGCTAGTGGAATGAACTTACTCTCTTAAATTGCATGGAGGATGGAGTGGTGGGCATCTGTATACAAACTTCTAAGTTTATCCACAGTATTCTAGCCACCATGGATGAAAAGGCAAAGCACACGCTTTCAAAATAAATATGTTCATCATTACCACCTTTACAATGCTACTGTGCCTGTGTGTGTATTCCAGTGGAGTGATCCACACTGATACAGCATCTGCCATGCATTTAGCTATACACTATACGTATTATTATTCCTTTCCCAACACAGACTCAGAAAATAAACATGACCATATGTGTCCAGTAATGAAAAGGGAGGAATGGAAGGGAGAACATTTTAAAGATTATCATGCAATAGCTAAACCAACTAACTAACAACAACAACAACAAAAGTCACAACTGTTCTGTGGATGGACACATGCTTTCACAAAACAACGATTTCTGTCATGCTATTTAGGTAGAACATCCTTCTCTTAGGTTTTGTCCCCCTTGCTTTGCTATTGACTGCTTTCCAGTCTTCCCCAAAACTGTGAATATCTAACTCTGGAAAAGTCAAGCACTCAAATGGGCAATCGAACACTGTATATGTGGCTCAACAGTGATTTATCAATTGATCTTTATCCTGCTCTAGCCAAGTTAACGCTTTCGTTGCCAAAGCTGTAAAAAAGCTGTTGTTCCAAAGATGTTGATCATAATGTATATGGATATATTTCAATGCATATATAGAATGACAGATAAATTGTGGGATTTTTCATGCACTGGGCATAAAAACAGCTTAGTTCAGTAAAATGGGCAATCAAACACATTTTAAGTGTCAAGCACACAACATCTGAAATTATCTTCCTCAATGGGTTTTTATAATTCTACTTTAAGAGTAAGGAATCATTCATAAGGAGTTGCATTTTATCTTATGTTGATTATATTTCTGTACGGTAAGCTGGGATCAGTTGTAATCAGGGTCCCTCTACAGGATAGATCTAAATATACCTTATTTGAATGCAGGCATCCTATGGAGAGAGAAAGCCACGCTGTTAAAACTCTGTTCTATACACAACTGTTATACATTAGGAACTTCACGTCTGGTTATCTCCTCGGGATTGGTAAGTTTGACAACTTTTAATTCCCTCCCCCCTTTCCTAAAAATTAACAGAAAATGCTCTTTCCTTTACATTACCAAGAGCAAGTGATATTTCCTGAGTCATAATTAAGATCTAAATGACAGCATTTTTATGTAATGGAATTCATTCATTTTTTTAAAAAAAAAAATAGTCCTGAAAATAAATGTGCTCTTTGAACCACAACTTTTTGTCACTTCAACGTTTTAGTGCAAGACACATAAAGCTCTTTTACCAAAAGGAAAATGTATTTATTTTATTTTTAAGAGAAGAAACTAGCATATGTATTTATGTTTTCTTTTAAAGAAGACCCTCTGTTTGACACTTCCCTCCCCTCTTTGCATTCAATCCAAGTTGAAAGTTTCTCCTCCCCCTCTTCTCCCTACTTCAATTGTGTATAAGCGTCTCTGTGTTTGTGCGTGTGTCCTACAGACTGTGCCTTTTTTTCAGGCAAAAGAGCCAAAAGGTTGTGCAAGAGTAGCCACAGCATGCCTGGGTGTGTATCACCAAGTGTGTGGTACGGAGACACCAGCAGCCCCTGTGATTAATTATCGGTTATTACTGGCCTTGCCGTTAACATTTTAGCTTTCCCGTCAGAAGGGCCATAGCAAGCTGCCTTAAAGGCGGCCCCCGATGAAGCAGCTACTCTGGGGAGGATGCCAAGACACAGCTCCACAGAAACAGTATGTGTATGCGCGTGTGTTGGAGAAAAGAGAGAGAAAGAGAAGAGAGGGACGAACAACTAAAACTGTCTCATCTCAAGACCCTCTGCTCGGTGCTGCCAGCTCTTCCAGCACAACGGTTCTCTCTCTCTCTCTCTCTCTCTCTCTCTCTCTCTCTCTCTCTCTCTCCCTCCCTCTCTTCCCTTCTCTCTTTAAGTCCTGAACAAGGCTGCTTTCTGTCACCTGAACTCAATTAAGCTGCTCTGAGTGCCCCCCTTTAAGTATCACTTTTGATATGGGGGCTTACATTTGTGAGTGAGTGGGTGAGTGGGTGAGTGAGTGGGTGGAGTGGGGGATTTTTAAAAATTGCTCAGATACTAAGATACTTTTTTAATTTAAAAGGGAAGGGGGGGGGGGAGGAGATGAAAAAGAAAGAAAACAAAGGCAACAATTTTTACCAGGAGGAAAATGACCTGTTTTGAAAACTTTCAATAAAAGGGGAGGTTTTTTTGTATTTAACAGTGTGTTGATTTTTTATTAAAAAACCCTTTCTTACTTTGGGAAGCAGTGAAGTAAGCATGAACATTCCAATGACAATACAGAAATTGTGCAGCGCAAAATTTTAAACAAAAGTGAAATGCAGGAAAGTTTTTTAAAAATGGAAAAATAAACCACACATAAACACACACATACATAAAAGAAACCTAACAACAACAACAACAACAATGCGACGACACGTGAACATGTGGCATTAAAAGTAAAGCAACATACCTGCTGGGACATTCTGAACAAGAGGTTCGTGTCAGCGTTCTGCCATGTCCCCATGAAACCAGGTTCGGTCGCTGCTGCTCTTGTTCCGAACTGCATGGAGTTGTCAGTGCAGGAGTCTCTTAAAGTCAAGTCTCTTGCCCTCTTTCGCTGTGAGTGTCTCTGAGTGTCTCTGTCTCTCACATCCACTTCTGCCTCTTCTGACTGAAAAGTGAAGGTGGATTTTTTTGAGCCTCTTGGCAGCCAGTAGCAGGAGTGTGGTGTAGTTAAACTAGCTGCTCTGTGCGTTTCATTTGGGGAAGGGGGGCTTTGGGGAGGGGGCCAGCGCTTCTTTCGCACCTTCTGCACAGATACCCCTATCATTTATGCATACACTGTAACTCCCCAAGCTCGCCTTTGCTTGGCTTAACAGCTGCCTGTCAGGTGTGCATGCAGCACAGAGGAGACCCAACCATCAGCTTCATACTCTCAGCCACTGGATGTCATTGGATAGCAGAGGAAGAGAGAGAGAGAGAGAGAGTCAACTGCACCGTTCCACTGTCAGGCACCAAATGACATCCCTCCCAGCCTTAAGATACACAGGCACACACTCTCCAGGAGCATGCTGATCAGAGTGGATTCAGAAGAACAAGCTGTGGCCCTTTCCCTGTTTTTCTTCAACAATGCTGTCAAGAACAGCATGTAATTGCTGACACTTGCCTATTAAACACAGACTGTAAACCTCCTCGCGGAGAAGGGGGAGGAAAGGAGAGGGACAACCAAGTGCTCATTCATCGAGACAATAGGCATGCAGAAAAACCACACAAAAGTTGGCCTGGCTTTAAACACAGATACGCATAGGTTATACGCACAGACTTTGAAAAGAGTCCCAGCCTCCCCCAAAAAATCTGAAATAAAGAAAAATCTTACCAAAAAAGAAGGGGGTGGAAGGAAAGAAGACGGTCTCCAACTTCTTTTAAAAATAAAATTGGGAAAAGTACACGCATGCTTCATCTCCCACAGCTTTTTCCCCTCCTGTTTGTTAATTGCCTAAAATGCCTCAAGGAATGTAAGTCAGAGAAAAGAAAAAAGGGGCTTCCCTTCTCTCCATACAGATAAAAAGCAGGAGGGTTTGTTTTTTTTTAAAAAAAGAGAGAAATATTTAGTTTCTGGATGCTTTAACTTCCCAAATCACAAAGTGGAGAGAGTGGAAGAAAGAAAGAAAGGTGGGGAAGGGTGCACATTTCTGTCCAGCAAAAGAAAGCACTTCTCTCTGCTATGATTTCCAGCATTAAGATTGTTAACATTTACGACACATCACAAGAAACTAAAAGCTATTGTTTTCAACAACTTTTTAAACATCATCTATATGCTCTGTATTTTTCAAAACTATTACAAATGTTGCTTTGCTGAGAGGGAAAGCTGGAGGGAGGGGCAAGAGGGAGAGAACACCTACATTGATTACATAAACACTATAACTTCAAAAAAAAAGTAAACCAAAATTCATGCCCTCTCATAAAAACATGCCAGGTTAAACAGAAAGAAAAAATGAGTCCAGATTTTCTCAACTTAAAAAGTGTAAGGAACATTCATCTTCCAATCCAATCTACAAATTCAGAGGACAAATGTACCACTTTCACAGCCTTTCCTTAACAGAAGAACAACAATAAACCTCACTCTCTCACAAAGCAACAAAAGAATCCCAAGAAAGCTTCAATGGCAGCTTTGTGTCATTAGTGTGCAATGAGGAAAGATGAGAAAGCGTACACTAAGTTGACACAAATGTGTCTTCCCCTTTAGAACCTGGCATCTCCTGAAAGCTTTTCTGTTAAACTTCCCTCCAGTTCAACACCATTAAGCACAAAAAATAGTCTCCAAAGCTGCAAATGCAATCTCTTGGAAACAAACACAAGAGCTGAAAAAACTGTTGCCTTAAAATATATTAAGTCCGCCAGTGGTCAATAAAAATATTCTTGTTGCAGGGGTCGAGGAGAGAGGGATGGAGGACACCCCCTCCCCAATACACGCATGTCAATTGTGCCAACAGTGGCTGTACCTTTGCAGCTAGCTATTACCCACTTAAACTCTCTCTAAAATTTGCTAGCCTCTTGCTTTCTGAAGTGGCACTCAGTGCCTTAGACAAGCTGCCTGCTCAGCTCCTGACCTTCCCACTAATGGCTGTTATTTGTGGGAGGCTTAAGGACAATGTCAATAGCCAGCTTTCCCTCCTCTCCTCTCTGCTCTTCTCTGCATCTCTTGTGCGCCTTCTCCCTACCTCTCTGGTTTTCTCCCCTCCTGTCCTGCAGTCCTCTCCACTCCCAGAGAGGGTGGGGGGAGGGAGGGGGGAAACCCACACACACAAAATCAACTGGCATGCAGCAGCAAGCACCTGCAGTAATAGACTCTTTTATTAAAACTGTTATTCTGCAAGACTTGAAATTCCCAGTGGACTGGGCCATGTCAAAGCCGATATAATTAACTAGAGGCTCAGCAACGGATCAATTACCAGACAAGCAAGTGATAGTGAAATCAATGAAAGATCATCAGCCACATTATCAGTGTTGCAACTCATTAGGGTAAAACTGAGAAATGTGCTCAAAGCGAGCCCAAGCAAGGTGGCATTACAAAACAAAGGGCTAATTTGGAGACCCTGCTGTGAACAATCTGTAACAGAATTAGCCTCTTTCCCCCCTAAACTGCACAGCTCTGTAACTAAATGTGACAGTCTGAGAGAGGCAGTTTATTAAGACACCAACTCCAAGTTTATTTAGTTCATAAACTCTCTCCTAGAAAATCAATACGGTCTATACAGGGTTATTAGGCTGACTAACTAATACATCCAAATCTAGTCTTCCCAGGCAGCCGCCAAAATCTTACCTGCCAGATATGAGGCTGGCCGAGAGTTCAACATCTACATAATATGGCATGAGAAAGTTCTTGTCCCATAGTGGCCATATCATGGCATGCAACAGCAACACAGAAGAACATGAGATTGTGGAGGATATTAATATAATAAAGAAGAACCAGCAGATGAGCATATTGCAAACTCTCATTTAATGGCACATCCCTAGTAAAGCAAGACCTCACAACCTCTGATGTTTCGCCATAGATGCAGGCGAAACATCAGGAGAGAATGCTTCTAGAACATGGCCATATAGCCCGAAAAACCTACAACAACCCAAAGCAAGAATAGTTTTAATAGGTGTATCAGTATTCAGCAGTTCAAAAACAAACATCAGATCTCTTTGCAGGATACGTACAAGGCACAATGTTCAAGAAGAAGAGATAACTTCAACCTCTAAAGTAATTATAGAACAATGAAAGAACTCACTAACCAGCCCACAAAAAAACTCCAACCTCATTTACACTAAATTGGGCACGAACACCATTGGACTCAATACGACTGAGTTCCAATAAAACACGGAGAGGGCTACAGCATATTCGAAGGAACACTTTTCATGTTCAATAATTTCCAAAAGGAAAAATATATAATGGGAAACTAGGTGAAGATAGTCAGAACTGTACAAGAGTGTAGCAGAATTCACCACAGGACAGGTAGATGTGAAGTACTCAATCTGGGAAGTCATGGATAAGTGTGATTCTTCACTGGTTGTAAATGAAGCAAAATGCCCACCTATGACAACTTGGTTGCCTACAAATACTATTATGGAATAGGAATTCTATAACATTTCAACAGCCCTTAATTTTATGAAAACTGACACATCAACTTGTTATCAAATAGCAAACTCAACGTTCATCCCTGGTGTCAATTTTTCCCTTTGAAATTAATTATTCCATTTACATCAGTTCAGGAAATTTGCTGTTTTGTTTAATTTTAAACACCGCTTATCCACACACAAAGGTGCTAACTTACTACCTCGCCAAAAAAATTATCACAAATTCTACAAATAAATAATACAGTCCCTGCTCCCAGAATATTCTGAATACACAAGCCATGTTTTAAATAAACTCTGGACAAAACATTTTAAAGTTTCCAGTTAAATATTTGCAATTCTTACAGCCATCTCCATCTTTCATTCACAAAATTTTTGTAATCTTTTATTTTAAAAAATGGGACTGACACACAAGGGACTGACACACAAGGAAACACAAGGAAAGAAATGCCTAGCCCTTTCACTCTGAAATATCAACTAATTTAGACACAGTTCTGCAAACTATGGAAACATAACATTATTTCCTGATTTTGTATTTCAATATTACATTGCTCATGATATCACTACAACTGAGGGATTGCTACTAAGCAAGTTAAGTTTTCCAAAATTCACTGCTAAATAATTACATATTAATCTTTACTACAATAATTATTATATTTACTCAATTAGAAAAAATATAATTATTTTAAACATTTAATTTTTTTTTGGTCAAGTTGTTTTGTTTTGCAAGTTTGTCTATGTTAACATATTGCATGTTCCATCTTTAACATGTGAAGGCATTAAAGCAGATTTTCCCCAATACTTGAGATGTTAATCAAGAAAACAATTACAGATTTTGTTAATGTTTACATGCATATAACTAAGTTACTCAACATGTACATTCAGTGAGGTCCAATTAGCTGAAAAATTTGTATTTCAGTTAGTATGAGCTAACAAGACTGTGGGGAGACAATGCAATTCAATCAGCCACATAAGAAATAATGCTGTTTTCCTATAAGCATTAATTCCCACAACTGGCCCTTTTAAAATGTTACTGATATTTACAGAATTTGTTTTCCTAACATCTAGGCACTCACTATAAATGCCAGTATTATCTATGCATGGAGCAGTGTCCTATGCAGAGGAACTGGAGAGGAAAAAAGATGCAACAGTAACCATGAATTGTTATACACACCATGTGAAAACATTCAATCCTATGCCCAACTCCACTTAGAATTAATGCTGTTTGGCACTACTTTAACTGTCATGGCTCAATGCTACAGAATCATGGACATTGTAATTTTACAAAGCCTTCAGTCTTCTCTTCCAAAAGGTGCTGGGGACTCACCAAACTATAAATCCCAGGATTCCATAGCATTGAACTATGACAGGTAAAGTGATGTCAAATTGCATTAATTCTACAGTGCAGATGCACCCTAAGTCTTGTTTCTAAAGTAAACATGCAATATGCTGTAAGGCTTTGGGTCTAAGGTTCTACTCAAAATCACGCAAAACATGGATGGGCCTTTTACTTCATTGATCATACAGGTTGATAGATAAAACACATCTAAAAAGCTTGAGTTTTTCCATCTCATGCACTGAGTAATGCAATGTAGTAATTTTCTTCCATAACCGACAAACAGACTAGAGAAGTTTGCAAGTTTGTAAAACTCCAAGAAAGAAATTTTGACAATGAAAGCCTTTCTTTGGGAGCCTTTTGAGGGGCAACTAAACAAAGCCAAACATAATGGAATGTAATAGCATTGTAGTCCCTATTCTATATAAAGTGAAAACAAAGGATCGCACAGAAGCAAAAGAATCGAAAGGTGTGAGAGTCTCCTTTTTACTCTTTAAGGAAATTTCAGAGCAAATGGCAAACCTCAGATTTCCAGCAGTGACAAACCTCAGTTTTGTATAGTATAAATGCTACCTTTTGTAGGGAAGCAATTTGGGTTAATTGGCAAGGTTGGATCATACATCCAGTATGCCTTTCCAGTCATATACAACTTTGTTAACTATTTTGCATGCTTCATTGACTTACTGTACAGTACCTGTAATTCCCAGAGTTCACTTTGCTGTAGCTGTT